TGCAGAGAAGAGGAAGGATGAAAATCAGGGGCCTGGAGGCTAAAACATATAAAGAACGGTCGCAGAAATTGGTTGTGTCTAGATTAGGAAAAAAAAAGGACTGGGGTGACAGGATAGAAATGTTCTAATATTTGAGGGGCTCCCACAAAGAGGAAGGAGGTCAACCTATTTTCCAAAGCACCTAAGGACAGGATAAGAAGCAGAGGATGGAAACTAATCAAGGAGAGAAGCAACCTAGAACCAAGAAGGAATTTCCTAACAGTGAGGACAATTAACCAGTGGAGCAACTTGCCTCCAGAAGTTGTGGGTGCTCCATCACTGGAAGCTTTTGAGAAGAGACTGGACAGCCCCTTGTCCAGAATGGTACAGGGTCTCCTGCTTGAGCAGGGGGTTGGACTAGAAGACCTCCAAAGTCCCTTCCAATTCTGTTACTCTGTTGTGTTCTTAAGGGATATATTACATTAGTTCCCGGCTAACAGCAGAGGATGCTAATGCCTGATTATCTTCTGTTTCATGTGCTATTCCTTTAAAGAAGTAATAATCCATAAGTAATTTGGTAGAACTAGTCCTGTCCTTCTCGGTTTGTTCTCAAGTTATATTTCCATATATCATGCTTCAATGAACATGAAAGAACCAACAAGGCTCTAAGAAAAACAACAACCAAGGCACTGAATTAATCTCCATTAAGAAAGGAATTCCTTATTTGCATTAAGGGGTAAGAAAAGAAGAAAGGAAAGAGAATTAATCATGTTTTTCCCCTCCTGCCTGAGGACCCCCCCATTCAGTTTCCCTCATCAATCATATCTCTTAATTTAAATTAAATAACCAATAACCAATAACCAATTAGATGACCATGCACAGCTAACAAATATCCAGATAAAATATTTATTTCACATTAGTTTTAATTCTGTGTAGAACTTGAACAACAAAACTATTCTTTTGAAATAAGGACTATCTGAAAGAAAACGTTAGAGAATAAGATTTCACCTTTTTTTTAAAAAAAAACTATTTCAAGAATGCATACAGTAAAAAAGATGTTTAGCATAAGAATATTCTACAATTGGGGAGAGAAGGTGTATTATCGCAGGTTCCTGGCTGATTGAAGCCTGACAAATATGTAATATTATGTAGCTATTAGAAGTATAATACGAAATAAAACAGAGGCCATTTTGAAATGGGACAGCTGATTTTGCCTGACTATAGCATAGCTCTGATATATTCATTAAGCCTCTTACTAAGTAAGCTTAGTGGGTACCACAAGGTTCCGTCTTAGGCCCAGTTCTCTTCCATATCTTCATAAATGACTTAGATGAGGGAATGGAAGGGGAACTCATCAATTTTGCAGATGACACTAAGCTGGCAGGAAATAGACAACACCCCAGAAGACAAGCTTCTGTTTTCCGGATCTAAAAAGATCTTGACAGACTTGAACAATGGGCCCTATCCAACAACATGAAATTTAATGTGGAGAAAAGCAAGGATTTACACCTAGGCAGGAAAACCCAAAGGCACAAGTACAGACTAGGCGAAATCTGGCTCAAAAACAGTAACTATGAGAGGGACCTTGGCGTCCCAGTGGATGATCACTTAAACATGAGCCAGCCATATGTGGCAGCAGCCAAAAAAGCTAATATAATCCTTGGTCGTATAAATAGAGGCATAGAATCAAAATCACGTGAAGTATTAGTACCGCTTTATAAAGCCTTAGTAAGGCTACACCTGGAATGCTGCATCCAGTTTTCGTCACCACATTACAAAAAAGATGTTGAGACTTTGGCAAAAGTGCAAAGAAGAGCAACTAACTGTTTTAATCAGAGAAAAAAAATATCCAATTTTGTTTCTACTTGGGAATTACTTCTGTACTTTGTGCTTAAGATAGAAAAAAAATGAAATTTTGACTTTGGCTTTTGCTGATTAAACTAGCTTGCTATTACAGAAATACTAGTAGCTGTTACGTAAAAAATTGAGGCTGTAATTTTATTTTGTATTTTACTGCACTGAAAAATATTGGAAGTCAATGTTTTTTTTTGGCCTCCTCTCTTACCTCTTCCTTCCTTCCTTCCTTCCTTCCTTCCTTCCTTCCTTCCTTCCTTCCTTCCTTCCTTCCTTCCTTCCTTCCTTCCTTCCTTCCTTCCTTCCCCTTTTCCCACTTTCTCAATATTTTTATTTTCATTTGTATTAATAAATACTTTGTGTATGACTCACAAGAGGCAAGTATACTTCAAACACTGGAAATGTGTCTGGAAATTGTTCAGCTAATTACTTGGCTAAAACAGAATCATGTTAGCAGATATATTTTTAAAAAAATATAGAGAAATTGCCCACAATAGGTGTATCCACAAAAAAGCATGGCGATCACATCTTGGCATGTTAGTAGGCCAAGATAGGATTTGTGTTCTAAATTATAAATGGTTAATTGTCTTAACTGCAACAAGAGAACAGTAATATAGAAATGGAGTTAATTAATCACTATGGAGATCAATACATCAGTGGTTCAAGTCACATGTCCACAATTGTAGCAATAGCAATAGCACTTATACTGCTTCACAGTGCTTTACAGCCCTTCTCTATGCGGTTTACAGAATCAGTATATTTGCCCCCAACAATCTGGGTCCTCATTTTACCAACTGTGGAAGGGTGGAAGGCTGAGTCAACCTTGAGCTGGTCAGGATCGAACTCCTGGAAGTAAGCAGTGAGTTAGCCTGTAGTACTGCATTCTAACCATTGTGCCACCACTGCACTCTTCATGGCTTGAGTTACATATAATATTATGCCATCAACCATGGTACACAAACCTCATGAAAGAATGGACAGAAAAACGGAGCAGAGATGGCAAAAATTAACTGTTTTAATCAGAGAAAAAAATATATCCAATTTTGTTTCTACTTGAAATCACTTCTGTACTTTGTGCTTAAGATAGACAAAAAATGAAATTTTGACTTTAGCTTTTGCTGATTAAACTAGCTTGCTATTACAGGAATACTAGTAGTTGTTACGTAAAAAGTTGAGGCTGTTATTTTATTTTGTATTTTACTGCACTGAAAAATATTGGAAGTCAGTGCTTTTTTTTGCCTCCTCTCTCTCTCCTTCCTTCCTTCCTTCCTTCCTTCCTTCCTTCCTTCCTTCCTTCCTTCCTTCCTTCCTTCCTTTCTTTCTCTTTTCCCACTTTCTCAATATTTTTATTTTTATTTGTATTTTATATTCATAATAATAATAACAACAACAATAATAATAATAGTCCCAGTATTAATAGGTGCCTATTAAACAACTGGAGGACCACTTGAACACTATGGCATTGACAAAATCATCGCCCGTCAATTGCAAAAGGCAGCTTCAAATTCACCATTAGTCAATTGCAAAAGGCGGCCTTACTAGGAACCGCCTCCATCCTGCGACGATATTTGTAATGACATCAAACATCCACATCTGCCTATCCCAGGTCCTTGGTAAGGACTCGCTAGGTAGACAAAATGCCAAATCCAATCTGAACATCTGGCTGACTGTACCATAATACAGGTAGTCCTCGATTTACAGTCACACTGAGCCCAAAATTTGTGTTCCTTAAGTGAGACATTAGTTAAGTAAGTTTTACCCCATTTTACGATCTTTCTTGCCACAGTTATTAAACAAATCACGGCAAATTAGTTACATTTATTAAGTGAATCTGGTTTACCTATTGATTTTGCTTGTCAGAAGATCACAAAAGGTGATCACATGATCACAGGACACTGCAACTGTCATAAATGTGAGTTAGTTGCCAAGCATCCGAATTTTGATCACGGGGATGATGTAATGATCGTTAAGCGTGAAAAACGGTCATAAGTCACTTTTTCAGTAATGTTATAACTTTCAACAGTCACTAAATCAGTGGTTCTCAACCTTTTTAATGCCGCGACCCCCAACCGGTCGTAAGTCGACGACTACTCAACCGGTCGTAAGTCAAGAACTATTCAACTGGTGCAGCACCGTTTGCAGAATGGGACTTTTGGCGGGCTCAGCAGGGCAGAGACAGCCTGGACAATTCCTATTGGCTTTTGAAAGCCAATAGAATTAGACTCTATTCAAGAGAGTCTATTCTATTGGCTTTCAAAAGCCAATAGGATAAAAGGGAGTAGCACAGCTAAGGAAAAGGGGGGGAAAAATGGCGGACTGCGTTGTTTGGTGACCCCCGTGAAATGGTCGTTCGACCCCAAATGGGGTCCCGACCCACAGGTTGAGAACCACTGCACTAAATGAACTGTTGTAAGTCAAGGACTACCTGTAGTAATAATAAAAACCATGGTGCACAAGCCACAAAGACGGGCTTCTGAAAAGATGCTCTCAACAAAACCAAATAAGGACCAAATAAGGGTCCAATTCTTAGCCTCTCTCCCTAAGAAAGGGTTATTAATAGCTTTATGACTAAGACAGCTGACCAGAGACACCTTCTCAGTTCAGCTGACTTCGTGGGAGTGTTGTAGGAATAAAAGGAGGAGGAAGAGGAGGAGATCTCTCCTGTACAGCATTTGATTCCCAGGAAAAGGGAGCTTCTAAATGCAATGGCAGTTTAGACAAATACCTGCGAAATTCAAGGAAGGAAACAGGACAAAAAAAAAAAAAAATCCTAAGAGGTTTTAACTGTACTAGCTGTAACTAACCAAAGATGACGCTGATCCACCATCAAGGGCACTGCAGGAATTTCACAGGCCTCTGCCCAAGTTAACTTAATCACAGGAGACTCAACGGGGAAGGGAGGCCTTGAGCTAAAGAAAACCCTGAATTTCCTAATGAGCAATGCCTCCCCCCCCCAAAAAAAAGTCTACAATGCAAACATCAAAGCAACAGGACTTGGAGATGGTGGGAAAGGCATTCCCTAATGAAAATGTAGAGCATAAATTGCCTCTAGAAATAACCACATAAATCCCCAGCGATCAGCTGTCAGGGAGCAAATGCCTGATCTAGTCTGAAGTCTTGCACTGAGCCATAGATAGAAGCCAAATATTCGACGGAGGGTCACCTACCTCCCAATCCAGGACGGACGCCTGCCACTGAGCGATCTTGTCTATGTTCTCCAGTCTCCTCTTCCGCTCGTTGATCTGCTGGGTCACGTTCCTCATGACAGCAAGCGCAGCGGCCACGTACCGGTAATCACTGGGCAGAAAAAAGGGTGGGGGAAACAGCCTGTAAAATTACAGAAGTGATGCAACAGTGGTGGATGTCACCTGGGAACATGACGAAATGCGCATGGAAGATTGGATCAAACAATTGAAGCCTAAGGGAGCCATTCTGGTAGACAGTGGTTCTTTGGTGTCTCCCAAAGACGTTTAGCTACATAACCCTTCAACTACAAAATTAAATCTGATGCAACCAGAATGATTAGGGGGCTGTAGACTAAAACATACAAAGAATGGTTACAGTAATTGGGTGTGTCTAGTCTAATGAACACACTTATATGCGGATCAAGAAGCAACAGTGAGAACTGGACACAGAACCACTGATTGGTTCAAAATTGGAAAAGGAGTCCGGCAAGGCTGTATACTGTCGCCCTGTCTATTTAACTTATATGCAGAGCACATCATGAGAAAGGCAGGGCTAGGTGAAACAAAAGTTGGAATTAAGATTGCCAGGAGAAATATCAACAACCTAAGATATGCACTCTAATGGCAGAAAGTGAAGAGGAACTAAAGAGCCTCTTGATGCGGGTGAAGAAGGAGAGTGCAAAAGTTGGCTTGAAACTCAACATTAAGAAAACCAAAATCATGGCATCCGGCCCTCTCAATTCCTGGCAAATAGAGGGGGAAGAAATGGAGGTCGTGACAGATTTTATTTTTCTGGGCTCCAAGATCACCTCAGATGGGGACTGCAGCCAAGAAATTAAAAGATGCTTGCTCCTGGGGAGGAAAGCTATGGCAAATCTAGACAACATACTAAAAAGCAGAGACATCACCCTGCCAACAAAAGTGCGTATAGTCCAGGCCATAGTTTTCCCAGTTGCAATGTATGGCTGTGAAAGTTGGACCATAAGAAAGGCTGAGCGCCAAAGAATGGAGGCCTTTGAACTATGGTGCTGGAGAAGACTCCTGCGAGTCCCCTGGACTGTAAGGCGATCCAACCGGTCAGTCCTAGAGGAGATCAACCCCGACTGCTCTTTAGAAGGCCAGATCCTGAAGTTGAAACTCAAATACTTTGGCCACCTAATGAAAAGGAAGGACTCACTGGAGAAGGGCCTAATGCTGGGAAAGATGGAGGGCAACAGAAGACAGGGACGACAGAGAATGAGGTTGCTGGATGGAGTCACTGAAGCAGGAGGCGTGAACTTAAATGGACTCCAGAAGATGGTAGAGGACAGGAAGACCTGGAGGAACATTGTCCATGGAGTCGCAATGGGTCGGACACGACTTCGCAATTAACAACAACAACAACAAGTCTAATGAAAAAAAAAGGACTAGGGGAGAGATGATGGCACTGTTCCAATATTTGAGGGGCTGCTACAAAGACAAGGGGGTCAAACTATTTCCCAAAGCACTGTGGGAAGTCAGCCCCCTAGAGAAGGAAATATTAAAAAGGGCAGAAAAATATATTTCCTAAAAAGATATTGAAGAACCAGAAAAGCATGCCCAGTTTGCTTAATAGCCCCAGCTCTCCCTCCCCCAAGCTCTGTACAAATGCAGAGGTACACATTCTGGAGAGAAAGAAGTTCCTAAGGATGGGTTCTAGCACAAGTCCAAAAGCTTAGAAGAATAAACTTTCGATCCCAGTGACCGATTCAGACTGGATCCAACACACACAAAAAAATCTCTTTCATAAGAGAAGACATCTTTTTAGAAACTGCAAAGAAGTTAACATAACATTGATCTACTTCCTTTGTTCTGAGTCCCGCCACTGATGTTTGTTCTCATAGTAGAATGTTATGCAGGTAATTAAAGTCTGTAATGTGTATATGAACACATATTCAATGCCCTGGGTGTCTCTGTGTGGGTAGAAGTGTGAATGCGAGTCCTGCCAGGACCAGAAAAAAACCAATCTTTTGCACAAAAATAAAGTCAATGGTATTGATTTCGACTGTCTGCTATATTTTCCATTCCAAGACCATACCATTGATTTCAGTCAGAGAGAGAGAGAGAGAGAGAGAGACTAGCTAGTTGCCTCCTTGGTGTCATCATAATTTATGATTAACTCAGGGCATAATATTGGCTTCTCACTAATGAGGAAAAAGAAAACAGTAGGTTGTTGAGATATGATTGATTTCTTTATCAACATTTCACTTGGTCTACCCACCCCATTTCAGGAAACTAGGTTGAAAGTCCTTGAAGAAGCACTCACAACCATATACTTTAATATGAGGCCCTCCAGATGTGCATTAATCTTCCCTCTTAAGCTACATTGACTAGAATCATAGGGATGGAAGGGACCTTGGAGGTCTTCCCAACCAGCCCCCTCAAAAAGTAGGAGTCCTTATACCATCCTGGACAAATGGGTGTCCAAAATTGTCTTGAAACCCTCCAGTGAGGGAGCTTCCATAACTCCAGGAAGTGAGTTGTTCCACTGATTAACTGTTCTCACTGTCAGGAAATTCCTTCTTATTTCCAGGTTGGATCTCCCTCTGATGAGCTTCCACCCATTACTACTTGTCCTCCACTCATACGCTTTGGAGAATAGGTGGACCCCTTCTTCTTTGTGACAGGCCCTCAAGTACTGGAAGATTGCTACCAGGTCTCCCCTATGCCTTCTTTTTAGTAGGCTAAGCATGGCCACTTCCCTTCGCCAATCTTTGTATATTTGGTCTGCAGCTTTGATGAGAGTTGATACCCAACAAATCTGGAGACCAATTGGTTGGGAAGGCTCATCAGGTTTCTTTTGGAGAAGACCACAGGGTAGGCGCCCTGATCTTTGGAGAACATCTTCAGTCATCCACCCCCTCACATATGAGTTCAATAGAGCAGCCTGACTTAAATTACACCAGACTTCTTTACTGACCCCAGATAGAGGGTCCAGCTTAATATTGAGAAATCCATGTGGCAATTAGTCGTGGATCAACTTCTATGCTCATTTGGAATTTGCAAAACAGATCCCAGGAGGCTCCAAAACACAAGTATGGTGTACAACCTTATCTTTTATATACATTGCTCACTATTATGTGAATCTGTCTTGGCTTTCCCAAATTGTCAGAAATAACCAAGCTGGTGGAGACTTTTGGAACTTAAAAGTCCATCAATGCAGAAAACAACCATTCTGAGGAAGGCTGGTCTAGCCACAAACAAGAACCAAGATTCTGTGCCATCTTGGTGGGTCAGAGTACAGAATGGTCTTTTGGGGTTCAAAACCATGGACAGCTCCTTGGCATCCTCCTGATCCTGGCCAGGAGAGTCCATAGAGAGATCTAAATCTACCCCCCCCCCCCTGCAGAGGAAAATCTGAATAACGATTTAATGGAGATAGAAGCATAAACATCTGTCTCTTTAAATGTCCACAGCTGGCCTGCTATAAGAATTGTCTCTTCATTGTTGAATGGGCCCAGACTTTTGATCCCAGGGAAAAATTTTCAAGGGTTTAAATGACGTGAAAAAGTCAGAGGAAAGCCACTATAGCAGTGTTTCTGCTGGCTGAGGAATTCTGGGAATTGAAATCTGCGCATTTTAAAGTTGTCGAAGTTTGGGGGGGGGGAAATGCCCTACACTAAGACTCTGCCAAATTCTGCCTTGATTTCTTCTCTGCAAAGGCCTGTTTTCTCCACTTTACTCTCATGGCCCCTGAGATTTCAAGTACTTTTCTGGTGGTATTTCTGAGCTTCTGCTACTGCGTTCTTGAAGGTGAATTGTATTCTGTCGCTCCTTCTCCCTCCTCAATTGCCCATCCTTCTCAATCTCCCAAAAAAAAAAAAAAGATTTATGGGAGGACTTTCATCCTGACATTTTCTCTTGGGATTCAAAAGGAAACAAGGAAATCAAGGGGAATGCAAACCGATGGACAATGATTGCACAAAAAAGGACAGGACATTCACACATACATAAATTTGGCCTGCATGTCAAGAGACAAGAATACCCAACTCTACCCAAGAACCTATCGCCAGAGCTGCTCTGAAAGCAAATTCACTGGACCCCAAATGAAAGCTAACATAACTTCTAGTCTTGAAGATCTTCTGGTCCAGGGCTTTTCAACCTTTTCACCCATTGTACCACTTTTAGGATATGGCAACATCCGAGTACCACCAGTCGCCTAGCAAGGTGTCAAAACCTTGATGACCAAAAAAAAAAGGAAAAAAGTGATAAAGTACAGTAGTCCTTGACTTACAATAGTTCACTTAGTGACTGTTTAAAGTTACAATGGCACTGAAAAAATTGTGCCCCCCAAGCCACAGCCGAGCAAGACACCTGCCTGCAATGCTCTTATTCCTGTACGAGGTTTTCATTGTTGTGAGCATTTCTGTTGAGGATTGGCAGCGGGGGTGGGGTGGGGGTGTTTGGTTTTTATTCCCCCCGTCTGCTGGGTGGTTGCAGCAGGTTTTGGTCACTTCACATGACCCTGGGACACTGTGACCATCATAAATATGAATCAGTTGCCAACCATCTGAATGTAAATCACAAGACCTGGAGATGCTGCAACATTCCAGCTGACTGGCGCTTCTTCTGGGCTCAGCAGAAGCGCCAGGATCAGTGCTGCTTTCCAGCTGATTGGTGCTTCTTCAGGGCTCAGCAAAAGCACCAGGATCATCGCCGAGCTCCGGCTGGAGCCTGTCGCTGATCCTGGTGCTTCCGCTGAGCCCTGACAGCCCTGCAGCTCCAGCTGTCTCTCACTCAGGCTTGTGCAGCGCTGCCACCAGTTCAGCTCATTCCCTCCCCAACTACCACTTTTCTAGGATGGTCGCGTACCACCTGCCAGGTGCCAATGTACCACAGGTGGTACCCGTACCACTGGTTGAAAAGCCCTGTTCTAGTCCAACCCTCTGTTCAAGCAGGAGACCTTATACCATCCCGATCAAATGGCTCTCCAATCTCTTCTTGAAAACTTCCAGTGATAACAGAATAATAGAATTGGATGGGACCTTGGAGGCCTTCTAATCCAACCCCTTGCTCAAGCAGGAGAGCCTATACCAGTGTTTCTCAACCTTGACAATTTTAAGGCATGTGGACTTCAACTCCCAGAATTCGACAGCCAGCAATGCTGGCTGTGGAATTCTGGGAATTGAAGTCCACATGCCTTAAAATTGTCAAGGTTGAGAAACACTGGCCTATACTATTCCAGACAAGTAGCTGCCCAGTCTCTTCTTAAAAGCCTCCAGTGATGGGGTACCACAACTTCTGAAGGCAAGCCGTTCCACTGGTTGTTTGTTCTCATCCATAGGAAATTTCTCTTTAGAGGTAACTTAGTAACTAGGAAGAGATGTGGGAGTTTCCAAGTATGGTAGTTTCCAAAGACTGCCTTTCTCAAATGGGTTAGTTACTGAGCCATTACTCCTCTCACAGCTTTGACAAACACCTCAGCGTTTCCGACAGGATCCCAATGGGGGAACCTGGGCAGAGAGCGCCTGTGTACATTTCCACATTCAAAGAGCTGCTCCGCTTAGCATGAGGTTGGCTGTGGGCCTCCCACAAGCACCTGGTGTGTTCCCACTCAGCATTATGTCAGAAAAATGCCACATCAGCTCCTGCCAAGAAACTCCTTTGTTATTTCTGGCTGTGTTGCCACCACTCAAAGTGCTGTTGCACACAGAAGCGTGTGCTCCCTGAGTGGAAGGAGCAAAGGGAATGAAAGGCGCAAGTTTTGTACAATCTGAACAGAAACCACTGCTCTTTTGTGTTCCTTTTCCCCCTGCATTTTGGTTTTTTTTTCTTTCTGCTTTTTTTTCTTTCTTCTATATTAGTGGGCGTTGTTTTTTAATGTTCTCTTTAAAACTTTAAATAAAATTTATGTCCCAAAGGTGCTTTTCCAAAAAGATGATAAGATAAGATGAGATGATAAGAAGAGAAGAGAAGATGATAAGGTAAGGTAAGGTAAGAGAAGAGAAGAGGATAAGATAAGATAAGATAAGATAAGATAAGATAAGATAAGATAAGATAAGATAAGATAAGATAAGATAAGATAAGATAAGATAAGATAAGATAAGATAACCTTTATTGTCATTTTTTACTGTGGGCACAACGGCACACATCAAAAATGAAATTTAGTTGCCCGCTCTCAAGTGAAACACATACATGACACACACCTAAACATACCATGAATAACATATGTATAGACCCATATCCCTACACATACATAGCAAATAAATATTAAATATGTCCATCTTGAACATATAATGGAAGGAGGAAGCTTGAGAGTTCACAAGGTTAATGCTGTATGGAATGAAACTATGGCTGAATCTGGATGTTCTGCTTCAGATACCATGAAGCCCCCTCCTCCCAGAAGGGAACAAGGAAAACAGGTTATGAAGAGGATGTGTCATGTCTCAGATAATCTTGCGGACTCTGCTCAAGCAACGCTTCTGTGCCATGTCCTGGATGGGATGGAGGGAGCTGCCAATGATCTTTTCGGCCATTCTCAGCACTCTCTGCACCGCCTTCCTGTCTGAAGCAGGGATGCTTCCAAACCAGACTGTGATGCTGTATGACAGGATGCAACTATACTTTCTGGTTGTTGTTGGGTTTTTTTAAAAAAAAAAACTTTTCACTTCTCATCCAATAAGCTTCTTCAATTCCTCTGAAGTGTTTTGAAAGAAAAAAAACCCAAGAAAGTCCGGTTGCCTTTGGGAAAAGCACCTTTGGGACAACCACGACCTGGATGATGGAGAATCTCCAAAGACAAATAAAATTTATGTTTTTTTTTAAAGGAACAAGGAAGACAGAAGGATGATAGGGCAAGAGCAGATTTCCAAAGACAGAGAGACTGAAAGAGATCATAACCAGCAGCTAGGAAATCAGCGGTTGGCTTCATATAGTCCAAGTCGAATCCCAGGGTTTACAAATCACAGTTTCTATATTCATTTATCATGGAAAGTCATCTCCCTTCTCCCAAATCAAGCCATCAAGCTGAGCCAGGTGGAGTGGTTAAGGTTATGGATCATGAGTGGGAGAGCTGCATCGAAATCCATTGTCAACCATAGTAGGAATTAGTATCGCTGGATTACTTGGGGGGATGATCAAGTTATTTTTGTGGGAATAAAATGAATGCAGATTCTATAGGAATCAACCAGGCTGAGCTGGAGGGAGGGGTCAAATGCATCATCAGTCATGAGTCTCTGCATGCCCACAAGAGATTTAAGTTCAGCCCACCTTCAATTCCTTTCTATTCTTAATTCCCACTAATTTCCCTTTGATGACAGTAGTTCAGGTTCTTGTAGAGAGCTTAAGCTTACAATACATCTTCATACAGATCTCCCCATCACAAGACCCTCACCTGCCGGGACCCTCCCATCACAAGACCTACTGACCACACAAAGCCCTTATAAGCAGAAGAACATCGACACTGACATTTTCTAAATTCTGCTGAAGATGTTACCTGGCCTGGTCACACAACATTCAGAAAACCAACCCACAAACTTGGAGAACACACCTCCACCCTCACCAGGGGTCTTCAAACTTGGCCCTTTTATGACTTGTGGACTTCAACTCCCAGAATTCCTCAGCCAGGCACGGGTGCCTGGTGAGGGATTCTGGGAGTTGAAGTCCACAAGTCATAAAAGGGCCATGTTTGAAGACCCCTACCCTATACCAATCCAGACAAATGGTTGTCCAGTCTCTTTTTGAAAGCCTCCAGTGATGGAGCATCCACAACATCTGAAGGCAAGCTGTTCCAGCCAAACTGGACTGCTGACTGGGGCCAAAAGCAGAGGACGATCTAATCAGCTGATCTTCAGCTCACACACACACACACACACACACACAGGCACACAAACAAACATACTGCCAAACATCTGCCTTTCGGAAACGGAACCATCTCTCCTCCTATATCCTTGATGTCTAGATTTTTAAAAGAAGGAGATAACCTCTGCGTTCAGCATCCCTCTTTCCAACGGCAGCCACATATGCTCCGTGTCCTAGCTGCGTTCCCTCACTATAAGGTTTAGTATTTTTTTTAGAGGTTTATGAATGGAGCTGAACCCCCCCTCCGCCTTCCCCTCCCCTGCCATCCACTCATTAACAAAACAAGGTTTTGCAGACAGAAGCCCTACGGCTCCAGCTCAACAAGCAAATGACAGATGAGAAATGGCCAGGGATGTTTACTGAGGCCGATGGATTAATGCTATGGAACGGTTCCCTGGAGGGGAACCGTAGCTTTTCCTTAATGATTTCGTGGGAGGACCAGGCTCCTGGCCAAACAGTGCCACGCTAACCCTGAGTTTCAAGGACCAGAAGTCTGCCTTCCCACCCATCTTGCAGAGTGAATTTAGATGGCTGGAAGATAAAAATGATGGCTAATGGGCTAGGAAATAAGGCAGACTCGCCGGCTGATGTCAGGGGGAGATTCTGTCCCTATAAGCAGCTGCCTGCCCAAAGGGAGGCTAATCTTTGAAATGTAAATTAAATTAAAGTAATTATTAAATTAATTATTAAATTAATTATATTATTAATAATAACAAAAACAAAATAACAACAACAACAAAAACAATAATAATAACAACAAGCCTTAAGGACAAATGCATATAAAGTCAAAATTGAGAAGACAGCAACAGACAGTAAGTGCCGCCTATGCAAAGAAGCTGAAGAAACAGTGGACCACCTGGTAAGCTGTTGCAAGAAGATTTCACAGACTGACTACAAGCAGCGGCATGACAAAGTAGCAACAATGGTGCATTGGAAGATCTGCAAGAAATATCATTTGCCTGTAAGCAAGAACTGGTGGGATCATAAAACAGAGAAAGTCATAGAAAATGATAAAATTAAACTGCTCTGGGACTTCAGAATTCAAACAGACAAGCACCTGCAACATAACACCCTGGACTTAACAACTGTCGATAAGAAAGACAAAAAAGCCTGGATAGTGGACGTGGCAGTGCCTGGAGACAGCAGAATAGAAGAGAAAGAACTGGAGAAGATAACAAAATACAAAGACCTACAAATAGAAATAGAAAGACTATGGCAAAGGCAAGCAAGGGTAGTACCAATAGTAAGAGGCACCATGGGTGCAATCCCAAAACCACTGGAGCACCAATTGAACACCATTATCGGCATTGACAAATTCGCCATTAGTCAATTGCAAAAGGCGGCCTTACTAGGAACAGCTTCCATCCTGCAACGATATCTGTAATAACATCAAATATCCACATCTGCCTGTCCCAGGTCCTGGGTAAGGATTCGATAGGTGGACAAAAAGCCAAATCCAGTCTGAACATCTGGCTGACTGTGCGATGATCCATAATAATAAACAAAAGTTTTGCCATCTTGGAAAAGAAAGTGGTCCATAAATGACAAGTAAACTTCCTGCTCTGCCTGAACTGGGCAAATCTGCAATGAAAGGCAGAGAGGCTGCCTTCCAAGACAGAGATAACAAGTGGTCTGATCCTTGGCGTGGTGACAGAAAGAAAGGGCTTGAACTAAAAGGGTCCATCTCCAACAGTCCCGGAAGATCTCTCTCTTCTGCAGCTCCTCCCAGCCCTGAATCCAAGCCTACCTCCTCCACCCACCCACCCACCTACCTGTGATCCTGTGCCGTGTACTTGAGCAGTTCTGCAAGCTGCAGAGGGTACTTGCAGATCTTCTGGACAGGGGTCAACAGGAAACCATCTATGGCGATGTCAATCATCTGCTGCAGGAGACGGCAAGCTTCGAAGAAGTGCTGGTACCTGCCGTCTTTCATTAATTTGGAAAGCTCCATGCATGCATCCAAGTGGTTATTACAGTACTCGGAGTAGATCCAGAATCCATCTTGCTACAGAGAGAGGAAAGCAGAAAGGGAGGGCGAGACGTCTCATAAAGAAGTAGCTACAGGGCAGATTTTAATCACAACAAAGAGGTTGACAAAAACCGCAACTGGAAAAGACCATTGGGACTGTGATGTCCAACCCCATGGCTACAGCAGGAATCTAAATTAAAAGCATTCCAGACAGAGAACTCTCCAGCCTATGCTTGAACATCTCCAGGAATGGAAACCTGAAATCTTACTGGGTCTTTGGTCCCTCTGTAAAGCTTCTTCTCTTGTTGGGTGGTTTTGCTAACGTTCAACCAGACGCAGAATAACAGAGTTGGGAGGTACCTTGGAGGTCTTCTAGTCCAACCCCCTGCTCAAGCAGAAGACCCTATGCCATCTCAGACAAATAGCTGCCCAATCTCTTCTCAAAAACCTCCAGTAATGGAGCACCCTCAACCTCTCAAGGCAAGCCATCCCACTGATTCATTGTTCTCACTGTCAGGAAATTTCTCCTCAGTTCTACATTGCTTCGCTCCTTGATTAGTCCATCCTCTGGAATGTCAGAAAGTTATGCCATATCCTGCATTTAATGAGGGGCAGAAGTTAGATCTTCTAACTTTGAACCCTTTCAGCAACTCAGGAATGCTATATTAATGCCCTTCTGTTACTTTTTCTCCAGGCCAAACGTATCTCAAATCCCACAATCCAACTGAGCCACTTCGTTTGAATCCTTCTCAAAGTGTGGCACCCACAACTGAATACTGTCAATCAAGGGTCATCAAGAGATAATCAAGATCATCCAGGTCACGGATGTCCCAACAATCCAACTGAGTCACTTCGTCTGAATCCTTCTGAAAGTTTGGCACCCACAACTGAATACTGTTAATCAAGGGTCATCAAGAGATAATCAAGGGTCATCATCCAGGTCACGGATGTCCCAAGGTGTTTTTTCCAAAAGGCAATTGGACTTCCTTGATTTTCTTTTCTTTTTCTTTTTTTTCTTTTTTTTGAAAATGTTTCATTTCTCATCCAAGAAGCTTCTTCAGTTCTAACTAATAATGGGAAATAGATTTATATTCTTTGCAGTCATTTGGTCGTTAGTACTCTGAGGTCTGGCCCTTAGCTTTCTTAGAGTCCTAGAGGCCACTTTCAATCAAAATAGAGCTGGAAGGGACCTTGGAGTTCTTCTAATCCAGCAGGAGACCCTATAACTGTGGTGGTGAACCTATGGCATGGGTGCCAGAGGTAGCACTCGGAGCCCTTTCTGTGGGCACACGTGCCGTTGCCCCAGCCTCGCCTCCCCCGCGACCCCCTCCTCTCCAGCAGCCCTCCTGGAGGAGAGTTGCCCCCAAGCGTGGCTCACATGGAGCACTGCAACCAAGGACATGGCAGCCAGGCAGCGTAGACAGGACTCTGCCCTCATGCCCCATTGTGCACAGTTGATGCTGCTGGGTGCAGGCTGAGGGTGTGGCTGCCATGGCGCTGCTGGGCGATCTGCAGTGGGCCCTGGAGACGGTGAGTGGCCCTGGGGCAGGTGGGGTAGGGGCAGGGTAGGGGCGGGGCAGGGGTGGAGCAGAGGCGGGGCCAATTTTTGGGCACTCGGTCTCTAAAAGGTTCGCCATCACTGCCCTATAAAATTTCAGACAAGTCCAGTCTCTTCTTAAAAACCTCCAGTGACAAAGCAGTCACAACATCTGGAGGCCAGCCGTCCCACTGGTTAATTCTTCTCCCTGTCAGGAAATTTCTCCTTCCTTCTAGGTTGCTTCTCTCCTTGGTTAGGACCAAAGAGGACCATCCCCTTCCCCAAGAACACACAGTCCTCAACTTATAGACATTTGTTTAATGGCCATTGAGAGTTACAATGGCACTGGGAAAAAAATGACTGATGAACAGATCCTGCAATGAGAAGCTTTGCAGCAATCCCCACAGTTCCTTGGCAAGTGGTAGGCGGAGGTAGTCCTCAACAACGGTTCATTTATTTTTTTATTTTTTAAAAAAAATTATTTGAATTTTCAATACATATACTACTTTCCATACATTATATATAAAACTAAAAAAAAAGAAAAATACCTTTAAAATAAGATCTTAGGTGTCGCTCGTCTATCTCCCCCCCCCCCGACTGCATCCGCCCTCTCAACCTTCCTTCCTTCCTTCCCTACTCCCTCTCTCCTCTCCTCTCCTCTCCTCTCTCCCCCCACCCCTTCCTCCCATCCAACTTCCTTCCTTCCCTCCTCCTCCCCTCTTATCCCTCTTGGATACAGTTCAGGGGGAACACCCAAGCGGCACCTCCCTCTAAATTACTCCATCTATTTCATACTTTAATATTTCCATATATACCTAATCCCACCCCACCCCTCCCCCCCTACCTCCCCACCCCACTTCCCAGAGCAAAATACAGGGTTATTATAAACAAAACAAACACAATAAAACAACAACAAAAAATTCTATACAATAAACAAATTCATACATTACCCTTAACTCTCTCTAAACAATAATAATAATAATAATAACAACAACAATATAAACAAATCTACTATAAATCAAATATTATAAAAATCTATAAATAATAATTATAACCTCAAGAAAAAATTAATCATAAAATAAATGGAACTTTAAAGTTCCGTATTTATTCTGAATATAATCTATCCACCTTCTCCACACTATAATAAATTTATGGTCCTTTAAATAAGCTGAAATTTTTGCCAATTCCGCTAAAGTAGAAACCTTAAGTGTCCATTCTTCTAAGGTAGGCAAACAACGGTTCATTTAGTGACTGTTCAAAGTGACGACGGGACTGGAAAAAAGGGACTTACGACCAAGGTTTCATACTCGCGGCCACGGTAGCTCCAGAAGACAGGCTTAAGATACAGGAGGACCTGGACAGACGTGAACACTGGGCGCTATCTAACAAAATGAAATTCAATGGTGAATCACGATCATGTGATTCGCTTAACAACGGCAGTGTCCTGTATCAAGCAAGGGGGTTGCTGACTATTGCTTGATGCAGGCAGATTAATTCCATGGAAGGGTTTTCATGCAGACTACTTTAATCCATCAGGAATTCTCAAAATATTAACTTACAGTTACTGAAGATACATCTGACATTCCTGCATGGTCTTTACCCATCACATGGGTAAAAAAAGAATAGCTTCTTCCATACTAATGAAGCAAACAGTCCTCGGGGCTGCACTTCATAGAGACCTTGCTAGCTGGCATGTAACCAGGATATCCCATAATAAAACAGAAGACCCTCCCAGTGGCCAGTCCGAACACAGATATGACCAGATAACATAAACTACATCACCCAAAAGAGTTTCCCTTAAGAGGACAGTTCTTAATTCCTGAGCTAGCTATATACTCTGACCAGCACAGGCAGTGATTCGCTTAACGACTCTGGCAGAAAAAAACACAGTATCATAGTACACAGTATCATTCAGCAACCGCCTTGTTTAGCAGTGGGAATTCTGGTCCCACGGGCGACCTATGTGGAGATAAGAGGCCTAAGACCCGGCTTTGCAGCCTGTACTGCCAATTGCAGCCAGTTTCCCATCCTTCGATCTGCAGCAAAGAGGCAGAGGCTCCTTTTCGGGCAGTTGGCAATCTCTCCCGTGCCAGCAATTATGAGTGCAGGAGGTCAGACTCCGATCAGAATCCTTTGTGGGGGCGATAAATCTCACCATGGCACAAGAGCTCTGGAATGCGCCAGAAAAAAAGAGAAGCCTGCTTGAGGAAGAGGGATTCCCAGCAGGGAAAGCCAAGATGCGGGGATCAGAGCTGAATGGAGAAGTCGTGCTCTTTCTGAGTTCCCTCTGCACGTGCCCAAAGGCCCGCTGGCTTGCAAGATCAGCACCTGTCAGACCCTGCTTGTCAGGCTCCCCAAACCAAGACAGACACGAGGAGTTACTTCGAAGCGCTTCCCTTGATGGTTCTTCACCAGTACACGGAAATCTTGCCAAGCTGAAACAACTACAAGGTTCTCTCTGAGCTTGGCTGTTTTCTTGCAGAATAGGTCAGATTGTTTGTGTGAGAAGGGAGTGGAGCTACTAGGGAGGAGGAGGAAGAGGAGGAGGAGGGGGAGGAGGGGGAGGAGAAAGACGAGGAGGAGGAGGAAGAGGAGAAGGGAGTGGAGCTACTAGGGAGGAGGAAAAGGAGGAAGAGGAGGGGAGGAAGGAGAGGAGGAGAAAGATGAGAAGGAGGAGGAAGAGGAAGAGGAGGAGGAAGAGGAGGAGGAAGAGGAGGAGGAGGGGAGGAAGAGAAGAAGGAAGAGGAGGAGGAGAGGAGGAGGAGAGGAAGAGGAAGAGAAAGAGGAGGAGAAGGAATAGGAGGGAGGAGGAGGAAGAGGAGGGAGGAAGAGGAAGAGGAGAACTGTGGGTTTCTCAGTGCTGTCTGAGCTAGGTTGTTTTCTTGCAGATGTTTCAGTCTCCAAATTAAATAGTATCATCAGTGCTAGTCATGATGTTACCTAGTTGGGTAATGACCTCTAATTTCAATCCTGAGCTCCAAATATTCTCCTTTATGGGTAAAACAGCTACTTGCATCAGGTGGTCCTCAACTTATGGTCACACTTGAGCCCAACATTTCTGTTGCTAAGCGAGACAGTTGCTATGTGAATTTTGCCCCATTTTATGACTTTTCTTGCCACGCTTGTTAAGCGACTCACTGCAGTCCTTAAGTTAGTAACACGGTTGTTAAGTGAATCTGGCTTCGCCATTGACTTCGCTTGTTAGAAAGTCTCAAAAGGGGATCACATCACCTTGGGACACCGCAACCGTCATAAATACGAGTCAGCTGCCAAGCATCTGAATTTTGATCACATGACCACGGGGAGGCTGCAATGGTCAATGAAAAACGGTCATAAGTCACTTTTTTCAGCGCTGTTATAACTCTGAATGGTCACTAAATGACCTGTTGTAAGTCCAGGACTATCTGTACCCTGAGTACTTCTAGGGAGGAGCCATCTTAATTCTCTTCCTCCCACCCAAACTATCTAAACTTCACTGTCTCTTGGTCCTCTGGAATGCATCACCTCCCTCCTGGGAATCCAGACCACATTCCACCCCACTGCTCCTGTAATTCAAAATCTGATTCCTCGGAGAGGCCCATCACATGGGACCATTTCTCCCATTTCTTATTTCTCCCATCAAATACCAATGCAAGGTGGCGCAGCAGCTAGAGTGCAGTACTGCAGGCCACTTTAGCTGACTGTGTTCAGCAGGTCAGCGGTTCAAATCTCACCGGCTCAAGGTTGACTCAGCCTTCCATCCTTCCGAGGTAGGTAAAATGAGGACCCAGATTGTTGGGGGCAATGTAAAATATATATATATATATATATATATATATATATACATTGCTTACTGGTGTACACCGCTTAGAGAGTGCTTGCACTTAAAGCGGTATATAAGTCTCATAAATAAATAAATAAATGCAAGTGTCCACCCACCCCCAAATCTCCTTGGCAAATGCAATTTCTTTATCTTCCTATTTTGGAAACAGATAACTGAAGTTAAACTAGGTGTGAGACATCCTTGGGGCAAAACTGTAACAACCCCAGATGGATTGTGGCAGTTACGGTTTGTTTCCTTTCCTTTTTTTCCAGAGCCTGTTCATAACTCCAGTCGTTGCGCTAAAGACAATTTATGAATGAAAGTGAGCCAACAAAGCGGATCAGTAGTCTAAGGCATTATGACACATGACGCTGAGAAGGGTTTTACCGGCATCCTGTAGAGGAATCATCAGCAATTGCAATGCGTTTCTCTAACATTCTCCAAAGCTTTCCTAGTATGAAAGGAAGCCTGGTTTGAGTTGACACCAGAAGCAACTTGGTTACGCTTCAAAGGATCCAGCGTCCTGGATAAGTGGCATTTTCTTACGTAAGCACCATCTTAGAGCTGCTTCTTCCCCAAAGGAGAAGCTGCAAAAGCTATGTTGCATGATTTTCTTGACATTTCTGGATATATCTACAATCCCATCAGCCCTGTAAAATGGTATTTATGTAACCGGCAACAGCAGAGAGTCTGTGAGAGCCATTTCAATCATCAAAAACATCCTGTTCCTCATGCGTGGATTATATTTTTGTTTTCTTTCAAGCTTCTGAGTCCATCTTGCCTCCAGGTCACTGCCCGGATCAATCTCTACAGTTTTCAGAAGCGGTTTGGCTAGCCTTCTTAGAGCTGCGAGAATAACTCACCCAAAGTCACCCTGTGTTGGCCTTTCAAGATAGTCCAGGCCAGGAAACCAAAATCACCAATATAATACTTTTATTGTAAAGTTACAGTGGTGTTTTTTCCAACCACAGCCCCTTTAAGATGGGCAGACTTCAACTCCCAGAATTCCATCTTAAAGGGGCGGCGGTTGAAAAAACACAGCTTTACAGTAACCGAAACCTGAATGTACCTCTTCCCTCCGTCCCTTTACTGTATGTTCCAGTGAATGAGAAAAGAGATGCTTTTACATAAAATTACATTTCTGATTTGAACTCAGATTTTGTTTATCTGACAGTTGTTTATGCTGCAGCTCTTTCTCCTGTCTCTCAAGGTTATTCTCACAGTAAAGTGTTAATACCACTTTACAACGCCTTGGTAAGGCCACACATGGAATACTGCATCCAATTCTGGTCACCACAATGTAAAAAGACATTGAGACTCTAGAAAGAGTGCAGAGAAGAGCAACAAAGATGATTGGAGGGCTGGAGGCTAAAACATACAAAGAACGGCTGCTGGAATTGGGTATGTCTAGTTTATTGAAAAGAAGGATGAGGGGTGACAGGATAGCAATGTTCCAATATCTCAGGGGCTGCCCCAAAGAAGAGGGAGTCAAGCTATTCTCCAAAGCACCTGAGGGCAGGACAAGAAGCAATGGAGGGAAACTAATCAAGGAGAGAAACAAGCTAGAACTAAGAAGAAATTTCCTGACAGTGAGCACAACTAACCAGTGGAACAGGTTGCCTTCAGAAGTTCTGAATGCTTCAAGAAAAAACTGGACAGTCACTTATCTGGAATGGTCTAGGGTCTCCTGTTTGAGCAGGAGGTTGGACTAGAAGACCTCCACGGTCCTTTCCAACTCTGTCATTCAAGTCTTCTGGTTTCTAGTCTGGTGCCTTGTTTCTCAACCTTGGAAACTTTTGAAACATTGGACTTCGACTCCCAGAATTCCCCAGCCAAGGTGAAACATTTGGCCTGAGCTAAATGGAGGTTTGAAAAAAGCAGAATCAACCATTTACAGCCACACTGACAAATGCTTGTTGGCCAGATTGGGTAGAAGATGACTCAATGTATCCACGGATGCGAGCAAATTGGTGGGAACCCTTTAATAACAACAGTACCAGATACGGTATTAACTCCTACCGCCCTGCTGGTTAAAATCTCTTTGGTTAGTTGCTCTTATTTACCACAACCCATTTTCAGGCAGAATCTCTACCCTGTAATTTCCGTTAGGTGGATCGCCCTAAAACAGGAGGATGAAAAGGAGAAAAAAAAGGGGGCCATCAGAACCGCTGCTATCTTCCATAGGTGGAGAATAAATACTTTGGTGCACTGCAGAAGCAGCTTCCTAACAAGTAATCAGAAAACAGGATCTTCAGATTTTAGGTAGGGACAGATGATATTATTCTTCATTAGCTCTCTTTCTGTGGTCAGCATTCATTATTCATACCCCACATCCATCCTTTGCAAACAAAAACCCATGTCTTATGGAGATTAGATCTGGTGTTTGACAACGTAGCCCCACATCACCGGAGCTAACTAAATCAGGTCAGGCCCAGCTGTTTAAGCCCCTGTGGAACTTCAAGGAAAGCTTATTGTGAACACTCAACTTACTGTGATTCATCTAACAAATTATGGCTAAGGAAACCACAATGAGCGTGAAACAAGAATCTAGCCGATGCTGTGTAGAAATTCCTCCTATGGAACATGCAAGAAATGCCCAACAACAGTGGTGGGATTCAGCCGGTTCGCATCAGTTTGGCAGAGCCAGTAGTTAATTTTTTATTGCCCAGGCCCAGAATGGACTTCAGGAAGTGGTATCCACACAGAGAACCAGTTGTTTCCATATGTGAATCCCACCACTTCCCAACAACCCAACTTTGCAAAGATAATCAAGCTAAACTGAAGATCTCTCCCACTGACTTCCTTCCTCTCTGAAAAACTTACATGCTCTAGAAAACATGGTCCTATTTCACTGAGATGAGGGTCCTCATTGTTGTACTGCTTCTCCAAGTCCCTTACAAAGCCCATCTGAAACCTGTAGATGTCTTCAATGTTGCCAAAGATGATCTTCAGCTGCTCATCACTGAACATGTCTCTTCTCTTCCGACACTGCTTTAAATAACCCTGAAGGAAAATTTAAAATAAGACAAAAGTTTACAAGTCGGGACTGCATCACAAACAGACTGTTTCCCTAACCACATACTGCTGGACACCATAAAAATATTATCCCAAGATTAGTACTGTAAAGTAAAATTCGATCACCAGTGTAATCAGTATTTTGGCCACTCCTAGATGTCAGGATGAATAATCATGGTTAATCCTTTGGCATTGTTGAGAACCCCAAAGAACTGCACTCTAATTCACAGACCATGTTCGCAAATCAGTCAAAAATCCAGTGGTTCCAGCTGAATACCATTGCTGGATGTCAGAATCCAATTATATTTCATTTTAGCTACCTACTCTGATAAAAACCCATTTCTTACTCTCTCTGGATTCTGTCATACTACGAAAGGGGAGGAGGATAAGCAAGGGGGTTTTATGACTCTCACTTCCTTCATTAAACTACAAAGTGACTGGATGTTGATTCTCATCAAGAGGACTGACCATAACAATATGGCCATCACCTTTCATCTATTCTCTCTGAAGTCTCCCTTTTGCCGGCAGTGAGGGAAAGGGGGGGAACAATGCAACGCCTGGAATCTGGGAAAACAGAGGATGAGTGATCGTTGCCCGGAAGAACTGTGGGGTGGGGACTGCTTGGGAACATTTTAAAACATTGAAGGATGGGAGAGAATTCCCCAGATCCTGTCTAGCATGCCTGCAATAATTTTCTCTTAATAAAGATGCCTGTTGGAAGAGACATTCCAAGAGTTCTGTCTTCTTAAGATGTAAAGTGGGGTGGGTCCTTACACTGAGCTTGGTTAGTCTCAGATTTTTTTTTCTCTTTGCATTGTACTTTGTTGCACAAACCCAGTGCAATTGGTTATTTTATGAACCAGGGTTCATTCGGAGAATGGGCTCCTTGAGGAATCAAGCTACAACGAAACTTTTGAGACTTTCAGATAGTCCTTGGAAATGGTGAAAGAGAATAACTGAATAATGGGGTCGGAAGGTACCTTGGAGGTCATCTAGTCCAACCCCCTGCTTGGGCAGGAGATCCTATACCATTCTGGACAAATGGCTGTCCAATCTCTTCTTGAAAACCTTCAGTGTTGGAGCATTCACAGCTTCTGGAAGCAAGTCTTTCCATTGATTAATTGTTCTAACTGTCAGGAAATTTCTCCTTAGTTCTAGGTTGCTTCTCTCTTTGGTTAGTTTCCATCCGTTGCTTCTTGTCCTGCCTTCAGATGCTTTGGAGAATAGCTTGACTACTCTTCTTTGGGGCAACCCCTGAGATATTGGAAGATGCTATCATGTCACTCCTAGTCCTTCTCTTTGTTAGACTAGACATACCCAGTCTTTGAAAGAGATTTCAATGCAGTGTAAAACGTTCATTAAGGGAAATTGCCTTGCTGTCTTGGTTTAACTTAGATAATTGCATCACCCTTGCATCATGAAGCACCTTGCTGAAATGACATACGCCATCAAATCAAGCCTACTCTGAATCAAGTCCTTCCTTCTTAGTTCATGCACTGTGCAAACCCAGAAGCTGGGCTACATCAACCACACTGTATCTATCTGAGCTACATATTTAACCTGGAACATCACAAGAAAAGGTGTTGAGGATTTTTGAAGTGAGGTGGCATTGTCACACTTCCCACTGAAGGTCTCACCCAGTTTCTTTAGTGACATTAGATTTGTTTCCCCTCTTTTAGGGGACTCTGGGAGCCTTGCAACTATTAAAAGCCAATAAAACCATGAATGATAAATATTCCTAGTAGCAGTAACAGTTTAAAACATAGGGAGGAAGGGAGAAGGATTTGGACAGGGATAGTGGGATCTTCTCTCTCTTTTTAAAAAAGATTTTATTAAGTTTTATAGGGTTAGGGATAAAATAGGGTCGGGATAGGGATTAAGGTTTAGGGCGGGGTCAGGATCAGGATTGGGATTAGGACAGGGTTGGGATCAGCATTGGGGTTATCCCCCAATAACATTTTCAATATTTAGCAAACAAACTATTGTCCGAGTACATATGTTCAGCTAACAATAGTTAACATAGTGATAGATAACTGTAGGAAATATAATAAACAATGATCATAAGCAGTATCAATTAATCAATGCATATCATTCTTCTTACTAGCATGTATTCAAAATAACATATCACATTCGTTTCTCACTAGTTCGTTTTCCTAACCGCTGGTAAAAGTTATCCCACGTTCTAAAATAAATTGAATCTTCTTTCTCTTTAATCTATCCATTTCTGCACATTCTAAGATTTTCTTAATTAAAACCTCTTCAATTGGTAAGTTTTCATTTTTCCAGTATTGGGCAAATACTATTCTCGCCGCTGTCAATACATGCAATATTAAATATTCCTTCTCCTTCTCATGATTAGGTCCCAATATTCCTAACAAAAGCAGTTCTGGTTTAAATTCTGTCTGTTTTTTAATCATCTTTTCCAACCATGTGTGTATCTTAACCCAAAACCTTTTTGCTTTAGGGCATGTCCACCATGGGATCGTCTCTTAATCCACCAATCACCTCCAGCATCATACCTCAGTTCCTGATCCTGGTGATATGACAGTAGCAGAATTTCGTTTCTATGGAACGATTCTAAATGAAGAACTCATTAAAATATTTCTTTCATATTGGGAAAAAGTCAACCATCCATTGCTTGCTTTGTTAAGAAGCAGAAAATGATGGACTTCTCATACTGGAGAGAATTTTGCTAAGTGATAGGCTTTCCTTCTAAAGTAGTTTTCCATGTAGTCCCCCTGGACTAAGTTTGGGGCAATTTTTGCAGGAGGTTAAGTGCCAATTTTAAGAGCCGTAGATACACAAATCTGGGAATTGTGATGCAGTACCTATCACCATTTGCCAACCATTCCTATATTTGGGGATTTGGTAATTGCAGAACAGGGCAGACTGCATATAATTGTTGTTAAGGAAGTGAGGTCTCTCAAACAATCCAAAGGTTTTGTTATAAGCGCTGAGCAGAAATAATTTTCCATCGTATCTATGGTTGAAGAGGGAGGTGAAGTTTTTCAGACAGACTGGTCTGACTGATTACACCTTATATATATATAATTTGTGGCTGGCAAAGAGTTAGTGGGAGACTAGTATAGCTATTTCAGGCTCATTAGCCCTCATCAGTTAGTCATACCCTTCAGGGATGACTAGCTGATGAGGGCTAATGAGCCTGAAATAGCTATACTAGTTTCCCACTAACTCTTTGCCAGCCACAAATTTTGAATTTATACTGTTCACAGTATGTGACGTCTGCCTGCAAAACAGATAATATATATCTGTTTATTTTTAACAATAAACAGCTGATTTATATTTATCCCGGAGTTTGAAGATTGTATTATATTGAATATATATATATATATATATATATATATATATATATATATATATATATATATATATATATATATGTAGGTCTTTGGTTGTTCGGGTTTTCTCCCACGTAAAATTGGAAGTGTCTTGGCGACGTTTCGACGAAGTCCCATTCGTCATCTTCAGGCTGGTGCTTTCAGCTTCGTGCCTCGAGCAGCACGAAGCTGAAAGCACCAGCCTGAAGATGACGAATGGGACTTCGTCGAAACGTCGCCAAGACACTTCCAATTTACGTGGGAGAAAACCCGAACAACCAAACCTACATACAAATACCCGCGAAAACCCAGAAAATATATATATATATATATATATAATATATATATATATATATATATATATATATATCTCCATATATATATGGATTTCATTTTTGTATATTCTCCCAACAATCTCAACCTAGCATCCTTCTGTTGTATTTTGGAGAGGTCAACTGCCCCTCTCCCTTCCTTCAAATTGTGGAGAATATTTGGAGAAATGTGGCCAAAGATGACATCTGCATGTCAGAACAAACATTAATAATCTTGAAAACATGCTCCAAATTTAATTTTTGTTTGAAGTAATGTTCCTCTGGGGAAGAGTTTTACAACTCATGCATAAATGTAGCAGCATCAGGCAAACAAAGATGTTTTTTGTTTCTGCTACTGGTGTTGCCTTTTGATTCGTGTGGTGCAAATATCCTGATTCCAGCATTTTTTTTATAAAAAAAAGTGAATTTTTTTTCAATTTGGAACTTTGGAATGGGGATTAGGTGGATATCCAGGGCCAATCCAAATGACTGAGCTGATTTCTTCCAAACTACGTGATTAATTAGAAGGTGCAATCGATTTTCCTTCAAACTAATCTCTGGATCAAACGTCCACACAGTATTCCTTTTGAAAGACCTGAACCCATAAGCTCTTTTTTTTTCCCAAGGAGAAAAAGGACATCTTTGAGAAGCTGTGAATGATGGCTCCATGCTAGCTCCATTCCTGAAGCTAACCCTTGGCTGCTGTCCCATAGTGAGACGCAACTGGATCCATGGATCACATTAATTTCCTACACAGCTGCCAAGCAACTATCTGAGCATTGTAGAAAATTAAAGGGATGGCCTAGACATGGAATTTGAAGCATTGTCATCCCATCCAGATAATTCAACCAGAAATCTCAAAGAAGCAAGAATAGGATTCAAGAGCTCTTTGCCAACTTGTACCTTGACCCAGTCCTTTAGAATGCAACAATGTTCAAAATAATCATATCTCTGTACTCAGATGGACCCATAATAGATTCATTTCTCTGAATTCAGACAGGGTCTGAATAGGGAATTATGAATTCTAATTATAAAGCGTTTTTAGTCAAGACTCAGTTTCCTGGAAATGACAATGTCATCTGATCCAACTCTATTTATGTTCTGAAATTCTTCTCACATTTTTTTTTCTTTTGCTGTGCTACTGACTTCCTGGACTGGGTTTGGGTTTTGTGGTCTGCCTTGTGATTTGAAGTCCACTGACTTTAGTAACTCCGGTTGAGTTGGTTATTTAGTTATCCAGACAGGAAAGGATGTAAAATAGTAGTTCTCAGCCTGTGATCTGCAGACCCCTGGGGGCCCATGATGCCATCATAGTGGGTCCGCGAAGGCTTGAAAAAAA